AAAGTACGAAACCTTTAAAGTTTCGCATCTAGTATAATAGTTCTATAGGAAACCCAGTACGAAACCTCGAGGTTCAATACAAAACCCTAAAGGTTTCGTACTTTCCTACAAAACCTTTTTTTGGTGTACGGAACTTAAAAAGGTTTCGAAGAAAAAAGGATCTTCACTTGGGTACACGGTAAGATCCTTTAAAGGTTCTGGGTTTTTTTTATTCATTTTTTGAAACTTTCAACACATTTGCAAACTTTTTGTCATCTACCGAACCTTTTTTTGAGGTTCCAGAAAGTACCGTTTTTTTTACAGTGTAGGGAGCAATTGAATTATAACTAAAGTTCAGTATAATGAGTGTCTGTTTCAAACGTGTCATAAATGATAGAACACCTGTTTTTTCATCAACATTTTCTTTTATATTGACTGCTCTATAATATTTCTTGAAAAATAGGATCTTATTTCTGAACACCAAGTAATTTACTTCTTGTTTTCAATAAGAATTCAATGTAATGTAGTGACTGTATTCTTATATAAATCAAGGAAAAAAAACATAGTGGCAAAAAAAGGTAAAATAAAACAATTAATAAGATAGAAAAAAAAACTATAATTGGTAATTTAAATAAAATGAATAAAATTATTCTTTGTTTAAAATGCTATAATTATATTAGCGATGTGAAAATTAAGTTAAAAAAATTGTAATCTAAGAAGAAATTAGTTTTATGTATAAATTTCGTTTGTTTATGAATTATGCTTTATGAACTTCAACTCCCGCTCCTTCAGATTTTGGTGATAAAGCAAATACTGGCAGTTCAAAATATGAATTGTCACCTTTGATCATTAGACTTGCAAATCCTATATACCAAAGAATTGCTGCTGTCAATATTCCAAAAGCTCCTCCTACACGTGATAAATTTTGATCCCATAATTGAAAGTAACTTGCTGTCCATAAAACATAAACTAATATTAAAAAGAAGAAAAATACTATTAAGACTGTATTTGATCGAATTGATGCAATTAACATAGCTATTGTAAATGTTGTC